AAAGTCTATGAGCCGAGCGTTATCCTGTTTTCTCTTTCATGCTCAAAAAGGTTTCTACTTTTCTTCCCTATGGTTGGCTTATCCATGATATATCTAGGTATGCACCAGTTAAAAACTGGTGTTGGGGCATCCGGAAGAATTGCTTTACATCAGATATCATGATTCGCTCAGAGCTGTGAAACATCTCATTCTGTAGAAAGATATTTGCTCTACAAAATACATTTGTTAAAAGAATTCCGAAATCATTTCTAAGAGAACTTAGAGCATTCAAAAATACATTAAATCAAGGAAAAAAATCTGTTCGAACACGTTTTTTTTCATAATCTGGTGCATTTTAGAATGTTCTAAGTTCTCTTAGAAATGATTTCGGAATTCTTTTAACAGATGTATTTTGTAGAGCAAACATCTTTCTACAAAATGAGATGTTTCACAGCTCTGAGCAAATCGTGATAACTGATGTATAGCAATTCTCCCGGATGCCTCAACACCAGTTTTTAACTGGTGCATACCTAGATATATCTGACAGCCGTTTTTCCGTATTTTAAACGCAAACACACAGATAAGCAATCATTTTGTAAGATCCTAGACCAAAATTAAGGGAACAACGAGACAAATCGAAAATCTACTATAGTGATGCCATTGTGAAGAGACAGATGACCTAAAAATATTTCATTTCAGTTTTCTATTTATGTTATTCACATAGCACTTATTGAACGAAGGAAAAGATAGTACAAATAAATAGAATAAGATAACTAAAGTGCCCAAGCGGATAGATTTATCCTTGTCATGGATCGGGAACTACTCTTTCAGAGATACTATTAATAGCTGCGGTTACAATAGTGTTTTTACTAAAATTGTGGCATGTTCCCATCGTAAGAAATATCGCTCAATTCTAAAGTAACAAGATCAAGTTGGAATAAAATGAATAATATTCCCGACAGTATATTCGTTCGACTTACAGTCAATGGACTGCATGAATCCATGTAATTCACGTTATTTATACATGTTTAATAAAAATTGATTATAATTATTTTCATTAAGATTATTGCTATCAATTTCTGATATTAAATTAATTTTAGCACTTCTTATATAAACTTTTCTTCAATTGAATTGAAAAAGTTCAAAAGTACGTATTACCGTATTCAAAAATATTGGCAATATGTAATCATCATCTATTTGTAATTGTAATGGTAATCCATTATCATTTTCAAATTGAGTTAAATACCATTCAATAAATGCATTAAGATCTGTATTACTTGTTCTAAAGAATCGTAATAAATCATGTAGGCTAAAAAATCGATGTGCATGAATATTTAATTAATTTTTATTTTGTCGATTATAGAAATATTTATAAATAAGCTGAGTTAAATCTTTATTGAATTGTTTTTCGTCATTTGATGGTATACGAAATATCATTGCGTTTATACAGTTTTCAAATTGATCTATGTTATGTTCAGTATTAAAATTCTTGCCTGTATCCAAAACTTTAAGACAGGCTTTTGTAAGGACAAACGTTTCTTGAAAAAATTCCAGAAAGTGTTAGCGGTTCTTTGGAAAAGCAGCTCGGATTTCCAGAAACTAAACTCGCAATCCATCGACATTTTTCTATAGGCAGATAGTCCGAAGTGTCTTCTGTAATATGGGCTGTGATCAACCTCCCACTTTTGCTTGGTTTTTTGAGAGGATAGGATTTTCCCCAACTACAAGGATCAGGCTTTCTCTCGGCCTCGCAGTCTCAAAATACCATGGCACTTAGACAATCAATGCTCCTGATCATCATAGTAATCTTAGTTTTCTTATGAAAAGTAATAATAAAGAAATGCAGTTCTCTGGTAAGAAAATTTTGTCCTTTTTGTGTTACAAAGATACATCTTGTGTATTTTTTCAAAGATGCTGCAGCTGAGATGACTGTAGGGGTTCATCGGAAAACTACGTTCACTTTTATCTCGAGTCGGCTACC